GTCAAGTACACAATTCCCGGACCAATGACCATTATTGAGAGTACCAGTAGTAAGTGGCTACACGTATACACATCACATTGCATCTCTTTAGTAAACTGCATTTTTAAATGCATGCTCACTCCCATTCAGTTTCAATAACTCCCAACCATATCTACTATCCTTAGCCCTATAATAAAAATAAAACAAAAAGACAGTAATTCCGAAAAGAGGCAGAGACATTTTGAAATTCAGCGTTTCGATCTATTTGATCATTTTCAAGAATACTTAGCCCTATAGTGATTTGTAATGGTTTTAATACCATATTTATTCGAATAATCACCCCGGGGGCGGGTATTGTTGAGAAGGGTTTTTGAGGGACATTTATTTTAGGGAATAAATTATTTGAAATAGACGTTTGTTTTATTTTTTTGTGTAAAGTGGATACTCAAGTCTCCCTGTCGGACAACTTAGCCCCCCCCCCCAGAAAATTTCTCCTAGAGCCGCCACTGAATAATAGTAATTAGCTTTATAACAATGGTGAGGTTAATAATACACATGGATTTCCTCTTTTCTGTGTATTTTTTTCTTCCAGATAAGTTTTATTCTGATGTGGAGAAACTGAGTGAAGCAATTGTATTAATTCTTAAGAAAGTAATAAAGGAGCTTGTTAAAGCAGGTATTGTATTTATCACCATCTTATTCATCATCATCTTCATCATCATTATCACCGTTACCACCACCATCATCATCGTAATCATTACCATTATTATCTTCTTCATCAACGTCATCATCATCGTCATTATCATCATCACCATCACCATCACCATTATGGATGGACGAATTTATTCAGTGTAAATACCAATGATAACCCATGAAAGTCTGAAGAAGACTTATTTCCAGTGGGGTCCTTCAATCCCCTACTCTTTTCTGAATAGTGTACTGTGTTCTTTAACATGCACACGGGCCGTAATGCACAAGGGACTAACGGCTTAAATGTCTTTTCCAAAAGACGGTGCACTTTCATAACTTGTGTTTCAGCCCTCCATCTGATACACAAGGAGAGCAGCGCTGGGAATTGAACAGGGGATCTAGAGATCCCATTGTTCAACACACAGCAGTTACCACCAGTTTAGCCGACTGAGCTAGACAGAATACAGAACTTTTATTGGTCTTGTAAAAGCAAAAGCATACTACAAGAAATTAATTAGTTGCTGGCAAACCATATAAAAAAATCACTACAGTACAGTAAAACAGTCCAATTAAAAACAGTACTGTATGTACAAAAACAACATAATATTAATATTAATTAATAGATAAAAGGTAGTACATTGAATTTTTTTTTTAAGAAATGGTATAGTTACTGTAAAATCATCAGTGTCAGGGGCGGATTTGGGGGGGGCCGGCCCGGCCCCGGCCCCCCCTTTTGGGAGGTAAAAAAAAGAAAAGAAAAAAGAAAAAAAGAGAGAAAAAGAAAAAAAATGATAGCCCAGAATGCCTCAAATGTTATGTTCGGGCGTCTAGAACACAAAAATTTCGCGGGGGGCATGCCTCGGACCCCCTACGACAGTGTTGTCTCAATCGGCCCAACTTTCGGTCCCCCCTTCCGGCCCCCCCTTTTGGACATTTCTGGATCCACCCCTGAGTGTTGTCATCATCATCATCATCATCATCATAATCGTTGCATTACTTCATCGCAATTACTTTATTCTGGTCGCTTTTATATTTTTTGTTTCCGCCACCCATATGAGTCCTAGAGAAGTTAACTTATAAATAGTTAACAGTATGTTTTGCCTTGCGCCTTACAACTTGAACATAACCTTTTTTCTTTGATGTGAAGGATGCAAGCATATACAAATCGATGAACCATTGTTTGCTCGAATTCCTGCAAGAGCAATAGATTATGGCATCAGGCATGCCGCATCGTGCTTCCAAGATGTTGGCTCAGACGTCACCAAGATAATCCATATCTGTTGCGGATATCCAGACCGTCTGGTAAGTAAAGGTTTCACTTTAACAAATTTCAGGCTCCAGATGTACCTGTGGTTTAATGGAGTGATTGGGGCTGCATAATGTAGAAGGTACAGTAATAGTAATAGTGTACATTTGTATAGCCCTGGTATCCATCAAAAAAAGATGCCCATGGTGCTTTTTGTGTGGACTAGTAGCTCATTCAATGACTTTTTTCACCTCTAAGGGTCCCTGTTTGTCTGCGCTACCCAGTAAACTTATACCAGCAAACTCCATCATCCACCACAGGGGCTGTTTGTATCAGTACACCGGGTAGCTCCCTACTTGTCTCGAAAGATGTACTGGGTTCTTTATAGTACATGTGTGTCATTGTGTACACTTGGCCTATCTATACGATTTAAATTATAGTGCTTATCCGAGAAGACTTACTCTACAACCAGTATACCTGGTGCTAGAACCAGCACCGATATTATGTCTGCAGGTTGCGGATGCTGAATTTGACATGGTGGGGAATTCAAACATTCAGAACTAAATCCCTATTGAATAAAAACTCAATGGTTATTTTTTATTTTTATAACCCACTTAATGGAATTACTTTGCACTTTAGGGCCCCTCAACCTATGCATATGAGGTATACATTACCAGAGATCTATACATCCTTACAGTCAGGCCTACACCTGTGTGTGTGGCAATAAATAATGTTCTGACCCACATACATTTGGAAATGTCGTAGATTTTATATGTGTAGTTGTAGTTTAGTAATAAGGTACTACTTACAGTATATAGCGCAAAATGCTGCAACGTCGATGCACTTACATATGTAAAAGTATATCTAAAGTTAAAGACTGGAGCTATTGGGCTCACGTCAGGCCAGGGTGCCCATTTTGCTTCCTTGGCATTTTGGTGGGGGTTTGTTGCTCCTCTTGTATAAAGTCTACCTCCCAGCATCCAACTGAAACACATGCTTTTCAGCCCTGAAACACATGAAGAGCAGCATGGTAGATAAAAGAAAATCCTTGCTGAACTACTAGGACTCATATGGCTGGAGCTGTGATACTCCACCTGGGTAGGATGCTGGTCCACCACAGGCTACTCCCAGCAATTTGCTGGTAGGCATTGAAACAGCTGGGTAGACCAGGGGCGGATCCAGAGATGTCGAAAAGGGGGGCCGAAAGGGGGGCCGAAATTTGGGCCGATCGAGACAACAATGCCCTAGGGGGTCCGAAATTTTTGTGTTCTAGACGCCCGAAAATAACATTTGAGCCGTTGTGGGCTATCATTTTTTTCTTTTTTCTTCTTTTTTTCTTTTTTCCCCCTTTTTTCACCTCCCAAAAGGGGGTGCCGGGGCCGGGCCGGCCCCCCCCCCTAAATCCGCCCCTGTAGACTGTAGAATGCGGTCGACAAGGGCTCGTACTAACTGCTATCAAGATTTTATTCGTGGCAGAATCTCAGAATCAGAAACTTTAATGCAAATCTTTGAAGATATGTACTCGAGTTATTGTAATTAAAATTTAACTTGTATTTAAAAATAAAAGAAATATTTGTATCATGTCTGTGACAATGAGAAACATATTTTCAACCATGTAATTTCCAATGAAAAGGATGAAACAAAGTTTATCTGTATCTGTTATCTGCTTTGAGAAGAATGATGTGTTTATAACATGATTTTTAAATTAAAGGACCAGACAGACTATTTGAAAGCTGATAGGTCATCCTATTTGACACTTGCAGGACATCTTGACGAAGCTGTCTTTGATGCAGGTATGTAAAACTCATGTAAAATTATTTCCTTTGACTACAGCCCCACCATGGTTGGGGTTGAAGTAAGAAAATTTACGATTATGTCACCTCTAGAAGGCTGGAAATGGCACTCTCAGACTTAAAGTTTGAATATAATTTCTTTTTTTCACAAGTTTTTACAATTTGAAAAATTTAGAGGGGCCTGGGCCGGCTGGCCGCCACCCTAGAATCCGCCACTGTGCATGCTATTGCAGTATTAATTTGTTATTGCAGATAGTGGTAAGCTTATAATATAATAGATTTTGTTTCATTCTCAAATAACTGCTTTCTTTTATATTTTAATCAAGTTTCAATTGAAGATGCCCATTGCCACAATGACTTGTCGTTTCTCAAGATGTTTACCAAGACAAGCGTGATACTGGGTTGTGTTGCTATTGCAAAGAGTCAAGTTGAAAGTGTCGCAGAAATCCAGGAACGGATTTGTGAAGCTTTGAAGTACATACCGGCTGAACGGTTACAGATTGCACCGGACTGTGGACTTGGGTATCTTCCGCATGACATCCTGGTACAAAAATTAACAAATATGGTTACAGCTGCTAAATTGGTCAATATATAATTAAACTTGGTCATTTTTTGTTTGTACTAATATTAAAATGAAAGAAATTTTAATTAATTATTATTAAAACAAAATGTTATTTCCGTAATAAAAGAAGAATGATTGATTGATTTATTGAGTGATTGATTTTCAGTGTTGAGTAAAACTCATTATAAAATCAAGGTTTCCTTTGCTAGCTACCATATGTGATTTTAGCTTATCAGTTTCAAGAACTTAATTTTTTCAATCGGTTTATACAAACAATTGCATGGGACGTGTGCTGAATGTCACTGTGGATTGGCAACGCAACAGTGAGATAAACTCGGTGGCACAACTAGAGATTCCCCGAAGAGGAGTATCCAAGTTTCCTGATTAGGGAGTCCAAGGTTCCAGATGTGAAGAAGTCCAAGATCCTTAAAGATGTATTGTCCCATGCTAAATACCTAAAAAATCATAAAAATGTTTTTTGAAATTAACTTGCCCATTTTTGAAGTAATGTAAAAGTTATCAACTTGAACATAGGAATTATTGTATTTAAAAAATATCTACCCGAAAATTTTGATTTGTAGATGGCGGGAAATGACCTTTCTCGACTTTTGAGCTAGGTGTATAATGACTTTGTTCTTCAAAATTAAAGGTTTTCCCCTCCTTGAAAACGGTCAGATAAACTTTCTCATTCTTATTACAGTAAATTGACCGGTTATGTGTGTATACATACATTTAAAAAAAAGTTAGTAGTTGCATACGTATTCTTTTTTCAATGAATCGATAAGCTCCAAAGGAAAGGGGGTCCGGGTTCTTCCCGGGAAAGTTTTGATTCTTAGATGGTGGGAAATGAGCTTTTCCGACTTCTAAGGTGTCTTAATTACTTTTAAGTTCTTAAAACAGTCAGGTAATTTTTTCCCATTGTTATTACAGGAAGTAGGCCTTATTTGTGATACATACATAACAAAAAATGAGTAGTTGCATACGTATTCTTTTTTCAATGAATCGATAAGCTCCAAAGAAAAGGGGGGGGGTCAAATTTTGATTCCTAGGAGGCGGGAAATGAGTTTTCCCGACAATTCTGGTGTCTTTTAATTACTTTTAAGTTCTTCAAAATTCAAGGTTTTCCCCTCTTGAAAATTATTATGATGAATCAATGAACCCAAAGAGAAAAGGGAGGTTCAGGTTCTCCCCGGGGAAATGTTGATTTCTAAATGGTGGGAAATGAGCTTTCCCAACTTCTGAAGTATCTTTTAGTGTCTTTAATTTAAGTTCTTCAAAATTCAAGGTTTTCCCCTTGAAAACAGCAGATGTGTGTATACATACATAAAAAAAATTGAGTAGTTGCATACGATTTTTTTTTCATGAATCCATAAATCCCAAAAAGAAAAGGGGGGGGGGGTCCGGGTGTTCTTCCCCGGGAAAGTGTTGATTCCTAGAAGGCGGGAAATGAGCTTTCCCGACTTCTGAGGTGTCTTTTAATTACTTTTAAGTTCTTCAAAATTCAAGGTTTCCCCCTCTTAAAAATTATTATAATGAATCAATGAACCCAAAGAGAAAGGGAGATTCGGGTTCTTCCCGGGGAAATGTTGATTAAATGGTGGGAAATGAGCTTTCCCGACTTCTGAAATATCCTTTAGCTAGGTGTCTAATGAATTTATTCTTCAAAATTCAAGGTTTCCCACTCTTGAAAACGGTCAGGTAAACTTTCTCATTCTTATTACAGTAAATTGGCCGGTTATGTGTGTATACATACATTATTATTATAATGAATCAATGAACCCAAAGAGAAAAGGGAGATTCGGGTTCTTCCCGGGGAAATGTTGATTAAATGGTGGGAAATGAGCTTTCCCGACTTCTGAAATATCCTTTAGCTAGGTGTCTAATGACTTTGTTCTTCTAAATTCAAGGTTTCCCACTCTTGAAAACGGTCAGGTAAACTTTCTCATTCTTATTACAGTAAATTGGCCGGTTATGTGTGTATACATACACACAAAAAAAAAGTAGTTGCATACATATTCTTTTTTCAATGAATCGATAAGCTCCAAAGAAAAGGGGGGTTCGGGGTTATCCCCTGGGAAGATTTTGATTCCTAAATGGCAGGAAATGAGCTTTCCCGACTTCTGAGGTGTCTTTTAATTACTTTTAAGTTCTTCAAAATTCAAGGTTTCCCCCTCTTAAAAATTATTATAATGAATCAATGAACCCAAAGAGAAAAGGGAGATTCTGGTTCTTCCCGGGGAAATGTTGATTAAATATTCTTTTTTCAATGAATTGATAAGCTCCAAAGAAAAGGGGGTTCGGGGTTATCCCCTGGGAAGATTTTGATTCCTAAATGGCGGGAAATGAGCTTTTCCGACTTCTGAGGTGTCTTAATTACTTTAAGTTCTTCAAAATTCAAGGTTTTTCCCCCCTCTTGAAAATAATTCAATGAACCCCAAAGAAAAAGGTGTCCCGGTTCCCCCGTGAAAATTTTGATTCCTAGAAGGCGGGAAATGAGCATTCCCGACTTCTGAAGTGTCTTTTAATTACTTTTAATTTCTTCACAATTCAAGGTTTTCCCCCTCTTGAAAATGATTCAATGAATCAATGAAAATTTCGATTTCTAGAATGCGGGAAATAAGCTTTCCTGACTTCGGATATGTCTTTTAAATGACTTTTTAAGTTCTTCAAAATTTAAGGTTTTACCCTGTTAGGTAAATTTTTCTCATTTTTTATTTTATGTGTGTATACATACATAAATAAATGAGTAGTTGCATGCGTATTATGTTTTCCATGAATAGATAAATCCCAAAAAAAGGGTGGTCCAGGTGTTCTCCCCCGGGAAAATTTGATTCCTAAATGGCGGGAAATGAGCTTTCCCGACATTTGAAGTGCGTTTTAATGACTTATGTTCTTCAAAATTCTAATATATTATAACATATTGTAACATAAAAATTTACAAAAAAGCTCACCGGTCCTGAAAAGGTAGGTCTAGAATTATTCTTTTTTTTTTTGTTGCCCAAGGGAGGGTCAGTACCCATGACCCCTCCCCCAGATCCGCCAATGTGAATTGCGAGAAAATGTATCTCGGTCGGGGACTGGATAAACATTCTCTTTCCCATCCTTCTCCTTCCCTCTTTCTTTTCTTGCATTTCTTTCCGATCATACAAAAATCTCCAGACAAAAAGTGGGGCACCCCCGGTTCCGCCGGCCATGCTCCCATAGGTTGCCACTGCAGAACCTTGCTAAATTTTGCCTAGCACAAGTCCTGTGTAACATATTGTCCCATGTGAATTGGGTATTGCATAGCATAGACTAAAGTCAAAGTGTAGGCCTACGAGAAATACTGTGGCTTTCAAGCCTGGTGTAGGCCTACATACACTCAGAAAACATTGTTGGCTAAGAATGAGTGGTTCGATCAAACAACACGCAATATTGTGTGCCTGAATCATAATAGTAATTTATTAGGAACTACACTTTTTCATCAGCAGCACATTTCATAATGGAAATGGAAGGTGCATTGCACCCAAAGCAATACAAGAAATACAAAGCGAATCAAAGTTTGCAAAAGTTACTTTAACTAAAATGTAAGAAAAAAGTTTCAAAAAAGAACATCAAACAATACTAAACCTACAGTAAAAATATATGTCAGATATAAAATTAACTTAAATGTGATTTTAAAAGTAAGGCAATACAAAGTTACCGTAAACGTTTGTTCTCTCTCAACGCTGCTTTCGAATAAGCGCCGCTGAATCGAGAATAGATTATACTACTGAACTACGGAAATACGTGAGATGAGTATGGTAATATGGGGCATGGAAAGCGCCACACCAATATTTTTTTTTATAAGCGCTGCACTGAAGCCTCCAAAAATTGTATATTGAGCATTTACAGTAATTTTGCATCGATATGTTCTAGATCCTGTATCAGTATACCCTTATTCAGATTGTCCTTAAAATTTCTATGATTTGACAAGTTTCAATCAAATTAATAGTGTCACTGGCTATAGGGAATGTTAAGTGTCTATATACTCCTGTAAAAATGAAAAACTGAACCAAAATTACTCGACTGTGTGACAAGAGTTTTATAGTAATACCTAGCAATTTATAAGTTCGTTTTACAGAATCTATAAAATTTAATCTATTAATAATCACGGGTAAAGGAACTTTATATTAACTGATGTTTAAGCAAAAATAATGAATTAGTCAGCCGTAGAGGATGCCACATGTTTCGCTTTTGATACGTGTGCACCAGGAATATTGTGAGTAGGCCAAATTATATTTTTAAGAGCTTTTATAAGGATGAATTTGTGTCTAGGATAGTGGCAGATATTACCCTTAGGCGTTTATTAAGAAAATGTATAAAAGAAAGTATAAGGAAAGATGTATAACCACTGAATTATTCGAAATGAATGTTAAAAAATGTATTAGTCAGCCGCTTTGGACTGACCCCATTTTATTTTATTTCCTGTTGCATGCGCACCATGTGGGTTTTAAAATATTCTTATGTATGTTAATCTTATATAAACGTAAGATGTTTTAACATCGACGAATGTATTTTATTGGAAATACTGTAAATGTAGGTGAAACCCTACAAAAAAGAAAAAAAAAAAGATATATAAAAATACTGAATAGGCCTAAATGTTTAACTGGATTATTGTAGATTCGAAAAAAAAAATAATCACGGGTTTGTAGTTGAGTTTGACATGTTTACAACTTAACCTCTGTCCTCACTATGACATTTTATGTGACAGATTTTGTGTGATGTGCCCATATATGCCACATCAACCAAATATGAGTATATCACAGTTACTCGTCACATAAAGTTTGATGGTGTGAACACAGCTTAATCCGCAGCTCAAAAGCCTTTGAGGCCAATAATGTCATTGAACCCATTTAAAAAAATCAGCAAGTGACTGTAGCCCATACATCCTGGCCTTATTTATGCCATATGAAACCTCCGCAAGTCGGCTCCGTCATCGGCTGCGGTAAAAACATTAAAAAGTATAGGCCTATGCACCAATAAGAACCTCAATTTGATGTTGTCCAAGGGGCCGGGGAAAATATCTCAACTTTAAAGCTTTGTCTACACTATCAAATTTCATCAAAAAAGCGTCACATAAAATGACAATAATGAATTCCTCATACCAATATATGTTAATTGTTGCGTCGTCTCCACATTCATGTATGCAGCAGAGGCATGGACCCTTCTGCCGAAATAGAAGACAACATCAGTTCTTTTGAAATGTGAATTCTGAGAAGAGTACTAAAGAATATCATGAACTCGAAGAACAGTGCGGCGTCAGCGTCTGAAATCTGGGGGTGGGGAAGTGAGGGGGAAGGTAAAATTTTAGGGGGAAATATGCTGGGGTACCTGGCCCGAGGTGGGCGTGGTCGGACGTCGTTCAAAATGTCACGAAAGTGGTCCAAGGCTTATTTAATCGATTTTATAGGTAGATAATCTAATATGTAGAAATGGGGAATTCCCTCCGCCTCCCTCCCCCTCCCCGCCGCATAGCGCCGCCACTGTCGAAGAATGACAAATGAAAAAGTCTTGTAAATGGAAAAAGTGATAAAATCCCTGGGGAATATTAATATTAGAAGGGAGGGTGTGCAAAAACTGCTCCTAGAAGGGAAAGTCAATGGAAATAGACCCAGGGGAAACCCACGCAAGATATAGTCTGGCAACATACAAGAATGGACCGGCATGACACACCACGCTTGTTGTAACAGGGTGTCTAAAGATAGAAAACAAGAATTGAGACATTGCATGCAACCAACCTCTGGACAGGAGACGGTACCTGAACAATAGAAGGAGAAATGAAGTAAGGTCGAGAAGAACGTAGCCTACATGATTATGAATGATACTTTAGTGATTACCTAAGATTATTATATACAGTAATGTATTGTATGCATATCATCAAACATGCGGAAATAATTATGTTAAAAGAGATAGCTAATGTTACCAATAGATCGTTTACAGTGGCGTATCTAGAAGTCTTGAAAAGGGGGAACTGGTGGGGAGGTGGGTTAAAGTGGGGGAAGGCGATAATAAGTTGAGGGGTGATAATTAGCAAAATAAGGTGATTTTAGGTGATTTTTAACTACTTGACCATGATTTATTTTAGGGGTAGGGGCCGCGCCAGTAATTTTTACCCCCCTAGATACGCCACTGGTCGTTTACCAGAATTTAAGCATAGCCACTATTGTCAATACATAGTCAAAAATTCCCCATCGCCTTTCTGGTTGACCAACAGCAGTTGTTGTTTTTGATTCATAATAACGGTCCCGTTCCATTCTACCGATTTTCTCTTCAAATGTTTTCTTCATGTTAACGATTTCCTCCTGGAGCATTTCAATTTTTCTATTGCATTCAATCCGCTTTGCCCGGTCTTCGTCCATTTGTTTTGCCATTTTTTCCACTATTTCCTTAAACTTTTGGGTATTGTGGTTAGAATCTGAACGAAATTTTTCAATAGCAGCGGTTTCGGATGAGACACTCTCACGGAGAATGTTGAAATTCTGCGTGTGCTCCCTAATGTTGTAGGTCAGTTCAGTCATCTTATCATTTTGATTTTTTAGATCCTGCCTAAGGTGATACATTTCGTCTCTCCATACTTCTATCGCTCGGTAGGCAGCAAAAACTAAACCTAAGGCAAGGATGGTGATAAAGTTGATTTCCATACTTGATAGCGTGTTGCGTAGTCAATCAGATGAAATCTAAAGGAAATAAGGTACACAAATGCATTATTAATACTTTTATGAAAGGGTGAGGAAGAGTGGTGTTTAATATTTTTTAAATCCCATGTAGGCCTACGATAAAGTACATAATCGCATGGGCGCAGATCTGTTTTGAAAGTTAAGTCGTTGACGAAGCTTGGGAAAAATTAAAATAGTAGGCCTGATGGACTAATAAGTTTTAGACTGTTGCAAACTTGTTGGATGATGGAAAACACGATCGAATTATCGTTATAAAAGTACCATATAATTATTCGAATGAACGCCCCATTGCGTCTATTTTCCCGGAATAAACGCCCTCTAAATGACAGTAAACAAGTGAAGTAACATCATTCGCAACACATTCTATGACAGTAATTTACTACTCCAACAGAATTACATTTTCCTAACCTGGTTGGGATCATAACAGATTTTGACGGTAATTATGTGTTGTAGTTCACATCTCTCTACAGATCGTTAATATTACCAGTCATTGAATATGGACTCCCATTCTGGAACCCATACACAAAACATCTTTCAGCTAAATTAGAAAGGATACGAAGGAAGGCAACACGATGTGCCTACACCAAACCAGACAAGAAATGCCCAAAAGGCTTAAATTATTATCCATGTCAACACTCAAAACAGGATAAAGCTGATTAGTGTCATATTCACAGTGAATTACTGGAAAAATTGACTGCGTTGCTGATTACTATAGGCCTACATTAAATATCTTTAAATCCGCGATATCTGTAAATGCTAACATTCAAACACCCTTTTCCAGGACCGAAGCCTTCAAATTCAGCACTGTAAATTAATTCCCGTGATTATGGAAAGACGTTCCAGACGAATTGAATGACTCAATTCTATTTGATTCGTTACCGGCATTCTGTTGCAAAGTCGAAGAACATTATAAAGGACCAGGCTTCCAAAATTTGAACACTTATTATTATTATTATTATTGCATGCCTAATTTTGAAAAATGTATCACAATATTATAGTCTACAATACCCTTTGTCACCATAAGCCTGTTACCACCCGGCCTTTTGCCACCCTATACCCGTTGCCACTCAGGCCCGCTGCCACCCGGTGTATGGAGCACACTGGGGTGCAACTTTAAAAAGGGCCATAAACGTTTGTTAGAAATCACCTCTAGTTTATGTGTAGGCTATAAAATTTCCTGCACGTCCGCCTTTCTAAACTGGCGCTGAATCAATCAGCCGGGTGTTTTTAGAGCATTTCATCGGAGCTAATAATAATAATATAAATAATTTGCCGCTAATAGTATTAATAAAAATACTTGGCCCTAACGGCCGCCCATACAAAAGCCATAATTAGCAAAAAAGATCTATTACCTATTAACCAATCAACAGGGTACTCCAAGAACTCGTCATCGGAGCTAAAAATATGTATATTCGGTATTTCGCGACTTTCATTATATTTTCTATCACTGGTAGGCTTAGAGTTAATTTTAAACACGTATTATTCATGAACCTTCAATAGTAGGCCTACAGTGCGGCTAACCAGCTTCCACGATGTGGATTCACAATCGTGCTACATTTAAAAAAATAATTGGTGGAATTTCCTAGTAGAGGACTACTATGTTTGATACGATGTATCAACAATTGCATAGGCCTAATTTTGAAAACTGTATCACAATATTATAGTCTACAATATCTGATTAAGTAAACATTTTGACAAATTATATTATTTATTTAAAGTAATACCACTAAGTGAACAAACTTCATTGCAATACCTCCACATATTGTTGCCATAATCATAAACTTGAGTAATTAGTTCATATTTTAATTATATTTTAAAGGTGATCAATTTTAAGTTTCTGCTATAAAAAAAAGTAGAGTATCCTAAATTTTTGTACTTGTTATATTCAATTTAAAGTATATATAGGCCTATATATATATATATATATATATATATATATGCCTATATATGTGTATACATATATGTGTGTGTAGATGTATAAATATATCTAAAGGTACTGTACAACTTGTATGATTTGATATTGATTATTATATCTGATTGTTAATTTAGTGAATGGTGAACCAAACTATTCCTTTTTTTTTTCTCTCATAAAATTAGCCATTTTCAAGTTTAATTAATTAAATGGAAAAAATGATTGGCTTTGTTACCTTGGTTGTTTTTTTCATTAATTTATATTTTTCATTCTCTAATTTTCAATTTGTTCTATAATGGTAATTGCAGTCTCAAACTGCCTTGCTTTTTAAAATGAAAGTTTGGATTTTATTTAATTTTGTAATTGTTTATTTTCATGTCATCATTATAATCATATCATTTTATTAATATTACTTTATTTTTAGCTCTGCTTTTCAATTTTACTTATATTATTGTTTAATCTAATTATTGTCTGTATATATCTAAATAAATAATAAAATAATTTGTGGAATTTCCCAGTAGGAACCTACGTGACAATGACGGTGACCCTAAAATAATGTGATATACATTTGAATGGATGTGCTTAAATAAGAACATAAGATATAATAATAGTACCAAGCCCTTTAACGAAAAGTAATTTTTTAATTAAAAAAAAAGAAAAGCTAGCGAGGTTCGAATCAGTGCAGCCTCTGGCTATCAAGGTGAGTATTATATCAATAGACGATAAAGATATACATACAGTAGACCTACAGGCGCAAGTCTAACACCCAGGCACTTTTCTAGGAAATCATAATAAACAATTTATTTAATAAATTACTTATAGGCCTACTTCAATACTCGTCAAAGTCTGGACAACATCTGGACGAGGATGCTGCGCCGCCGACAGACAGTATGTGCAAGTGCAATAATAACACTAATTTTTAATTATTAATTGCATAACGTAAAACATAAAATAGAAGCCCAATGGGCTTAATCTCGAGAGGAAGCCCATCTCGAATTAAAGCCTCCTTCTTTTGTTTGGAAAGATACTGTAGCCTCGAAAGAAGCCCAATATAGCATCGACTTCTATTTGAGATAGTAGTGCTTAAACTGCACATGAATTTCAAAGAAAAAAAATAGATTAAAAAAACGCTTGGTTTACAGAGTAGTTTAGGTGATTTAATGCCGGTTGGTTAGATAGGCCCTATATGATACAGACTGATGTTACAGTGGCCCTATTTATTGTTTTCTAATAGTAATTCCCAACATTTAGGGCATTTTTTTTAAAGAATCTCCCCTCTTTACTTTGCAAAAGTAACCTCAAAAAGAAGCCCATCCAAAGTTCGCAAAAAAAAAAAAAAGAA